GGCGGGGGCGGGCCCTCCCCGGGCGCTGTGAACTTTAGCTGGGCCGCCGCCTGTCAGCCCCAGAAAGCGTTAAAGGTGCAGCAGCCCGCGCCAGCCTCCGCAGCCGCCTTTGTACGCGTGATTTATGACTTCAATCTTGGTTCACCGAGAGTTCACACGGCTTTCGCTGCTGTTGAAGGTTAAAAGATGGTCTTCGCTTGACAAGTGGGACTATTGAAAATTCCTTCTTCTTCGTTTTTTTTTTTTTAGAAGCGAAGAGCGGAGACTCAGAAGAGAGAAAATTTGGGGGGAGGGGACAGGAGTTGCAGGTGGGGGAAAATAGATCAGGAAAGTTTGTCCCCCTACATTTAGGATTTTTTCATAGGTAGGATTTGGGAGTATGTTGGGGAGGCGGGTAGAGAATAGGAGGAGCTAGGGAAGGGGTTTAATGATCTCTGGAGGCCAAAGGAGTGGCATTCTAAAAAATACAAGTCGTGTTTCCACAATTAATTATCTGGATAATTTGGATCACACCTAACCGATCCTCCTCTTGAGACCAGAAGGGGGGCCCGGGAAGGAGCTTGGAGTGAAGGGCGGATATGTGGTCCCCATGGCAGAAGGTGCCCACCAGCTGTGCTACACTGACCATCCACCTAGCCTGCTAGCAAGCTTTCAAGTGCACCCTTGTACCCACAGGTTTGGAAGAGAGTGCTTTGCGTCCCAACTGTTCCAACTCCCTTCATCCTGAGATGTCCATGTCCATGTCACCTGACCTGCAGATTTGATGCAACTGCTGAGGCTGATGGGAAAACCATAGAATTGGGACTGGAAGTTCTTTCTAATGCCACCCCTTGGTTACTGGCCACTTGTTCCTTCTTCCTTCTAGCATTTTGAAGAAAGGGGTTCCACAGCAGAGATGGTGGTCGAAGATCTCCCAGAGGCCAGAAGATAAGGCCCCTTTGCTCTACGGCTTTGAGTATTTGAAGGAACAAGAATCTGTCCTCCTTTTCAGATTGCCTGAGCGAGAGAAGGAGATCTCCTGGAGCTGTGAGGGTCCAAGTGGCTCTTTGAAGTTCCTTTAAGATCTTTAAAAATCCCACTGAGGTGGGAATTTGGGATTATGGGTGTTGGGGAGGAGAGCAGCAGAGAGCTGGGTCTGGTGTTGGGCATGCCTGCTTAGCCCTGTTTAGACCCCACCACCAAGACTGATGAAGTCAGAGTCAGCCCCTCAAATCCAGATTCTGGAACCAACGGCATCCACACTAGAAGGGGTGCTCCCTGTTTCTCTTCCCCCCTAGAGTTAGAAGGCCTTCCACCACTACAGTATGAGGGCTCCTAGGCAATCCCCGTGAGAACGGAGGAGCCAGGGGGAGAAGAATCAGAAAGATGGGGCCCCCATCTCTCCGGGACACCCAGTACCAGCTCCTCCCACAGGACACCCCGCAGAACAGGCAGCAGGGAGCAGAGAGACCCCAGAAACCCAGAGTCCAGGTTCTGAGGGCTCTTTGGCGGGGATGACCCTCTGGCCTCAGGAAGAACAGAGAAGAAGCATGGCCCTGTGTTTAGAACCCCCTGTGGGGGTTAGCTGTTAGGAGGAATCAGCCAAGGAAGCCAATGAATCTCTTCCATGTTCTGGTTGGAACGCAGAAGAATGAACTTAAGGGCGTCTAGAAGTAATGGCTGCAATGAGGTCCCCTTTCCACCCCCTTTAACCGAATTCCTCCCTGGGAAATAATTTCAGCGGGCTTGTGCTTATCTGCAAGTCTGCAATAATTATGAATTATTAATTCATAATTAAGACTGTTGATTGTGACCATTGCTCTCCAGTGGGCTCATTTATTTCCTTCTCCTCTGTGAAGCACAGGGCAGCCTCTGCTAGCCCCTGCCCTCAGAATAAGCAAACTGAGGCCTGGTCCTCTGGAAAGCAGCCCTTGAACTCGGCCCCTATGTGGAAGAGTTGCCTCACTACCAGTCAGGTCCTGTTGCACCCCCACAGAGTATTTGCACTCAATAAACCACCTCCCACTAACGTCAGATTTCGAAGCGCTTTGTGGGCTTGGCTCCTAGAAAGGTAGAGTGAGGACTGCTAGTGAGACTCCAGCGAGGGAAACAGCTTAGCCAAGCTCTGGGTGGAGACAGGAGATCAGGCCTCTTGGCAGGACTCCCAGGCGCAAGAACCCAAGTGATCTGGCATCAGGGGTGGGCCCTCTGCCTTCCCCTGCCGCAGAAGATGCTGGTCTCCCTCAGCCCTCTGGAGACCCCCCAGTACACACCTGGCTCCTTTTCCTGACCTCCCTTTCCCCCCACCCCACTCCCTTGAGGTGGCAAAGGCTTCAAGATACACCATACTCTGGGAGGTTTGGGGGTGGGGAAGTGGGATCTGCCAGTTGTTTCACATCTGTAAGGGCCTAGAGAGGGAGAAAATTGTATCCTGTGAGATAATTTCCATCTGAATCCCCGCCTGCAGCTCACCTCCCCCTGCGCTGAGACATGCTCTTCATCCCGTCTTCCCTCCTTCCCTGCCCTCTGAAAATGCTGACCCAGACTGGAGGCCGAGGCCGCTCCCACAGCTGCATCTAGAGAGAGAGACAGAAGTAGAAAATGAGGGAGGGGGGTTCAAACCTCCTACTTCCCCTACTATTCCTCAAACCCAGATCAACCCCCCAGTCCAGGGCCCTCCCTCCTCCTTCCCCCAACTCGGCCTCATGGAAATGGAGCCCTTCCCCCCTCCCTGAGGCTGTGACTGCTCTAAGATTTTGCTCTAAGAACACCACCACCTTGCATAGGACATTTGGGGACCCAGCCCCCATGCCTCTCCCAGTGCCTGTCTGGTCCGAGGGAAGCAGTGGCCCAGCCAGCACATGGCCACTTCA